TCCTGAGGAGAGGATGGACTGCCACCTCCTTAAAGTGTTCATTATTTTTAAAATAATAAAAGCATTTATTGTTGCTTGGGTCCGATTATATATCCTCTCCTCGAAGACAATATCCAACCAGGTAAACATGGATCTAAGATACAGTTGGCTGCACTCGCAGCACTGAAGTATCAAAGCACAATTCCCTCCTCCAATTAACTGTCATAAATCACATTCTCCAATTAGTTTGAAATGCAGGCTTTCCCTCCAGTTCTCCAGCCTGCCAATTCTTATCATCTCTTATTTCAATAACCTTGGTTCACACACTAGATCCAGTATTGTTATGTCTAGCTAAACTCTCATGCACATTCCTCCCCCCAGCATCATATAACTCTAACTCTAACTCTAATTCTAACTCTAATTCTAAAAGTAAAACATAAGAAAATGGTTGCATCTCCAACTGTTGTCAAAGCAAAAACATCCGATGTTAACAGCGTTGACAGAAGGCACTTGCATAGCTGAAGTCTAACTCAGAGTGAGTTCAGTTTTATCCAACAGATGGCTAGAATAGTCTTTACAACAGGCCTCATAGATGTTTTGTAGGGGTTCTTCCTTCTCCAGGGGCAGGTTGGATTATTCTGACCATGGTGGCTGGACAGCGCTCTGCAATAGCAGTTGGAAAATCATTATGTTTTACTCCTCTTCTCACCACGAAGTAATACTTTAAAAAATTCCTATCTTGGCTCAACCACACAGCTGATCTCTGAGATCTCTGAAAGCTATTAGGGTCTCTCCAGCAACTATAGCCTTTCCACTGCTTCTGCTCTGGGGCGGTAACTGTGGCTATATTGAAAGCCCAGGTGGCACCTTTCCAGGTCTTGATTATACATGCTGTGTGAGCCCTCTCATCCATTATTAAATCATGAGTAAGCTTTAGCACAGGTACCCCCGATGCAAAGAATAACAGTGCTGACAGTGATACCAGGATCAGGTCTCCTTGCATCAATCTGCTAGGGAAAATCAACCAGATCCTTTCTTATTCTGCCTACACAAACCATCTTCCCCTTCCCTCCTTTCTGGATCATATTTTTTTTTTACTGTCAACTATAAATCTGAGTCCCAAATTGACACAGATTATCACCACTAGGATAATCTATGCACATATCTGCATTTTACTTGCATTCAAAGTTTAACACTTACTTTGAATGAGTTCATAATGGTTATGACTCAGGGTGATGATGTTGGGTTTCCTCAAGAAGTTCAGAAAAATCTTGGAAGAGGAAGAACAATAAGTCAACTCAATAAGCTTTGGAACATACTTCAAGTCATATTACAATACTCTGTCTAATGAGTCCTTGTCATACTCCACAGAGTCAGTATTAAGTAACTTTCAAGTACAGTAAGTCAGTCAACCACCCTCGCTTGTCTTTCAGGAAGCGCATTCCATGCTGTTGTAAGACCAAGAACCATGGAAATAATATTTATAAAAAATTTCAATTGCTATTAGATACATTCAACATTTAATTGCAAAAGGAAAAGAATGCTGTGCCTAAGCTTCCTATTAGGATTTTTATTCTTCTTAATAAGCAAACGTTATGGGTGACCATAAAACACGGTGACTGTTTTTGTTAAAATGATAATAGCAGTTTTGTGCCACAAATTCTCCTCCTTTTCAACATGCGCATGGTGTCATAATGGACATTTAAAAGGGGCAGGAATTGTATCATGTTACTATGATGATGTTTTCATCAGAGGGATCAGTTTGAGCATCACTGCAGAGGCCACCGCTTCCAAGTAGATTTGTCCGAAATGGTATAGGGTTTCCTGCCTGAGCAGGGGGTTGGACTAGATGACCTTCAAGGTCCCTTCCAACTTTACTATTATTATTATTATTATTATTATTATTATTATTATTATTATTATTATTATTATTATTATTATTATTATTATTATTATTATTACTCTAGCAACCATACTAAGAATCTCCTGGGGGGTTTTTTTAGAAATTTACATGGCACAAACATTTGTGGACTAGAGCCAACTTCATCATCAAACAATTTTCATCATTCTCAGTCTATTGGTTTAATAATTTTAAAATTGTATCGGATATTTCAGTATGCCTCATACAAACAGAATAACAAGGCCATCACATAGGAATTTGGGGGGATGTGTGTTTTTTTGTTTTGCTTGTTGAAATAAGTCAGTCCTATTTGTGGCTCATTTTTTTGCATTTTGATATACTGTTTAAAAGTTTCTGCCTTCTATTATAGGTGGCAATTACCACACCAGCAAAATGAGAATCAAGCTGATATAGTTTGGGGAACTTTTATGAGTTCTTCCAAAAGATAACATGCTGCGATCCTGTGCCATAAGCAGTTTTTGATCCATTATAGTTATATACTTTCTTCCTTTCCCCTGTGCAGACAGATATGGATAGTTAAGTCATAATAAACCTAGAGCAATGTGGAAGCAGGCTGGATGCCACTGAAGAGGTGATATGAACAGTCACATAATCTCTTGACTTGGAATAAAGGACCATCACTAGTAGTTACATACTGATTGTGGTCTGTTTAGCATCTACAGTAGGTCAGTATCTATCAAAAGGTGGCTCAAGGACCCTAGGGGTCCCCCAAGACCCCCTCAGAAGTCCGACAATTCAAAATTATTTGCCAGCCTATGTTGAAAAATAATACAATATAAAAATCCCATCAAACATTTGTGAGAAACATTAGTGGCAGTGAATGAATCAATTTTAATTTTCAGTAGAATAAATATTGATAAAAATAACCGATACAAACAAATGCTCTTTTAAGATCCTCTATAAGTTTTAAAAGTGGGAAAGAGTGCTGAGACCAAAAATTTAAGAAACACTAATCTGGGTCACAGATACCAACAGCCTGCACAAGCAAATTCAGCAAAATACTTGTTTTTGCTCAATAATGTTTATGGTGGAGTGACTAATAGGCCAATATATAGTCCTTTTCTTTATGTAGCTAACACTGCTTACGCTACAGGTTTTCCTCTTTCCATTGTTATTATTCAGTGAGTGAGAATTTTGGATCCATTACAACAATTGAGAAACAATTGCCCATTCAGTTGTTGGAAAATAGTCACTGGTCTGGATACTCCTTCAATAAATAGAGTATTTATGTATGCATCCAACTTACCTGTTGTATTCAGTGTTAAGCTTTTTTCCTCAGTAGATGTTAGATGTTTAACTTCACATCGTATTGTCTTCCCAAAGCTAAGTAATTTTGGATCGAAGCGTATTTTACTAACAAAATAACATAAGTGATCTTCTCCAATCGTAACCTTCCTGGGATTGATCTTTTCATATATTTGTCTCCAGCCTTGGTACCATCTGACTTGTATATCATGAGGTGCAAATTGTGATATAGAAATTTCAAGGAAGATATTCTGATGATCTGCAGTTGCCTTTATTTCAGACAAAACAGGCCGTTTGGCTAAATGAGAAGAAAAAATATTGAGCAGGGATGACAATGTAAATATTGTAATATGTTTCCATACCTTGGCTTAATATGATTAATGAAAGAACGACTTTTAATGTAAGAAAATACTTTAAGAATTGATCCTCTGCAGTCTTTGCATAAGGGAACTATTGCATGAGACCACTGTATAAGACCAACTCCACAATTTTTACCAAGCACAAAGTGAAAACTTTGTTACAAATGGTATATATCTATACCATTTGTAACAAACCCAATGAATGGAAATCATGTCTCCAGACTTCTCTATGGCTGACCGTTTAAGCTGGACACAACAACCCTTTTTATTGTTGTTTTTCTCAATTTTTATTTTATTGAAAACATTAAAATGCAAACTCCAAAAAAGAGAAAAATATGCAAAAACAAAATAAAGCTAAACAAGACTACACCAACAAAAAAAGTGCATAAACAAGACAAAACAAACATATACTGTACATTTTCTACAGTTTTCTTTATGTTTCCATTACTTGGTTGAAATTCAGTAACAGCAGTGCATATGATAGCCTAGACATTTGCAGTATGAGAAGAATGTGTGTGTGTGTTTTGTGATGTGCAATTGCAGTTCAAGTGTGAAAGGACAGAGATTATGCTTCATTGTTTGGGTGTCATTAAGGTTGGAAATGGATATCTATGCATCTTACTAGTAGGTAAGATAATATTATCCTATAAATATTCTCCCACACATGATAAAAAGGCAATGGTGTCCACATAGCATGGTCAAAAAAGTTAAGAAAGTGAGATGAACTCAGAGTGATGATGAGCACCTCTGCTCCCAGGGATGTCACACCTGGGCTGTGGCTTAAATCTTGGTATCCACAGCACAAAGGACACAACAGAAGACAGACCACAGTGCTATAGGCAGGGAAATTTGTTTTTAAGTAACATTACAGGAAATGAGGCTGTGCCACACTCCTCACGTGTTCAGTTCCATTTAATAAAGCCTAAAGAGGGTAAACTCAACCCAACTTCACCAATTAACATCAGAAGATGAATAAATCCAAAAACATTTTGGTACGCACCTGGAAGTTTTAGATATACTTTTCTTGTAATAGGTTTTGTCAATCTTGCATGGCTCGCCTTGAAACAAATGGCCTTATCACAAACTGAAGCAGTAGCTTTTAGTTTCAACACAGAATTTAATTTGTAACAACCATTAGAGGCCATGTCTAAATTCTCTGTGACTGCACCATTCGTTATTGATTCATCTCCCAGGAACCACTGAGCACAAATTTCTTTAGGATTGAAATCCGTGATGTCACAAATTAAATTTACAGTTTCTCCATAATCTGCATCATTTGGTTCAATAACAATATTTGAAAGTTTGGGAAAATCTATAAATGTGACAGAGAAATCAACATTAGACAAGGAATCACTGTTAAATGCAAAAAATATCCTAATATACAGAGCATCAACTGAGATTTTTAACATTATATTGTTACCACAAAAAAGAAGGAATCATTGTTCAATGAGAACTTATGCTGTTACAATAGATTAACAGAACAGGTTCACATAGAACAATGTTCATACAGGAAATCAGCTCTCAACTGATTAGGCAAATAACAATTATTTCTGTTTCCCTGCCTTTTGTGTACATATGTTGGCCATACAGTGAGATATCAGTGCTTCTCACTATTTTGGTTTGTTTCCACACATTAATCCATGGCATGTTATTATATACTGATGTGAACTTAGAAGTAAAATGTATGCAACAATACTATAAAGTTAATCTATCTCTCTATCTACCATCCATCTATCTACAGTATGTCTATCATCTATCTGCCTGCTTGCCTGCCTGCCTGCCTGCCTGCCTGCCTGCCTGCCTGCCTGCCTGCCTGCCTGCCTGCCTGCCTGCCTGCCTGCCTGCCTACCTACCTACCTACCTACCTACCTACATACCTACATACCTACATACATACATACATACATACATACATACATACATACATATATATATATATATATATATGTAGATCTTTAGTTATTCGGGTTTTCTCCCGCGTAGAATTAGAAGTGTCTTGGCGACGTTTCGACGAAGTCACATTCGTCATCTTCAGGCTGGTGTCTTCAGCTTCGTGCTTCTGGGAGTAGTGTGTATGATCACAGCTGTTTCTTCCTTTTAACTGCCAGTGGCAGTTAAAAGGAAGAAACAGCTGCGATCACACAACCAACCAATGTGGGGATCACACAACCAATGTGGGGATCACACAACCAACCAATGTGGGGAACAGAAATATGAAATCACATACACAAGGGGAATGGGAGATGGGGTTAAAGAGAGAGAGAAAGAGGAGTGACACCTCCACCCCCAACCCGCGGGCGAATGAGCTGAACAGGAGCAACCGCACAGATAAGTCTTGCAGGATGGGGACAACCAGCGGAGGAAGGATCACCGCTGGAGCGCAGCTGACACAACCAGGACCAGTAACAAGGTCCAGGGGCCGTGTGCAGACCAAGTTCGAACTATAAAAGACTCTCCCATAGACTGACCGTTTAAGCCCTGATGATGTCAGCAGAACGCTGACGAAAGCTTGGCATTTGGTACTGTAACATTAAACTCCTAGAGTTTGATTATTTTACCCTGGTGTTCGTTTTATTTTATTTGTTTGGCATATATATATTTACCTATATACCTATCTACCTACCTATCAGCAGCTTAGAGATTGGGCAGTAATAACTAGGACTCTGTTCTAAAAATTCCTTTCCCTGGCAGACAGTTGTAAGTAAATATTGGGAGAAAAACCCACACTGTAAATGACTTTAATAAATTGGCTTGCCCAGGAGGTGGGCAAACATATTTGTCCATTGAATGGATCTTCTGGCAAAAGGTAAATACTTTGTTGAATGGCTGTGTATTCAGTGGATACTTGTCTCTGCTTTGGCCATGGGAGCTGACATATTCTTATCAGTTTCCAATATGCTTCTTAAAAAACACCTCTAAGCCTGTTCAAGTGAAGTGGCCTCACAGTTCCATGCCACAGGTCAACATTGGGATTACTTTGCCCTGAATGCTTTCAATAAAGGAGTCCAGGTCCCTGAGTAATTATAATTAAATAATTCGTATAATTTTTGGTACTTGCTACAATCCTCACCAAGCTTCCTATGCTGGTAAAGGTCATTTCCAAATAGGTGAAATGAATTTGCATGTTCAATAGGCTCCCCATTCAGCTGCCAGTTAAATGTCACACTTTTTGTTGTTGTTGTTATATTGATGTTTATAGCATTGAGAACATAATAGTTATTTAGCTTCACAACAGCGTCTCAAGCCTATTTGAGAATGCATCATTAGAACCACATCTTCAGCACATTAGAGAATATTAATAAGTTTATCATGGATCTTTGGCATATGAGTGTCTGAAGAATACAGGAATCCTGGAATATTATTGACACAGAAATTAAGAAGCATTTGA